CTATGCCGGGAGCTCCATTAAATATTGTGGTGCGTTTTTTATTTTTTTACATCTTTAGATCGGCGTTTTATAATTTGTTCGCTCACGGCACAAAAAGGACGGTCCAGTCCCAGAACTTGTGTTGTTGCTCGGATGACACAGTAGTGCTCCATGAAAACAGAGCAGACTGTCCCCACGTCAAGAACTACCTCTCGTGGCTTGAAGCGAGGCCGTCCGTGAAGGTATTAACGTTCTTGGTATTCCTCGGCATCGTACGACGTCACAAGAAGACGGCACCGACACAGAATCAACATGGGTCACCGCAGACCAAGTAACAGTATGACATATGCAGTTATTTGAAACAACAATAATCGTAGACCTCGATCGATACGATTGCTTATATTTTCAAAAGAGGTAGTTCACCCATTTCGTGAAATAATAGTAATATCAAATATTTCTTTTATTCTCTTATTTCATTTGTCGATATTTTATGATAATACGCATTTTTTTTCAACAATAATTATTTTTCTTATTCAAAATTTTTCCCTCACTAAACATTTTATAGTATTTCTTTTATTAGAGTGAATGTCAAGAAATGGTATACCGCCACAACTCTCTACATCGGTATCTAGAGGATACACGAGAGTTCACGTGGTCTAACTACGATTGAAGGTTGTAAATTTTTTTTGGAAGGGCACCCCGTACGGGGGCCTGGGGGGATGTGACTTTTCTTCGACGTGCTCGACACAGCTAAATTAGTTTCATTTACAAAATTACAGATTGAATTCTTAGTACCACGGCAAACTGTACTAAAAAAGGCAAATGGGTCATTCCGTTTTGTGTGGGGGGGGACTTATGAATTTTTGTAAAGTTCTGATCTTAGCAATTCTATAAAAGTGAAGTTTCGTACAGTGTACTGGTGCACGCATGTTCTCGTTCCACTGAAGTCTAAACGCACCGTCGCGCGGAATGGTGGCCGATGGGTGACAGACACTCTCACAGACGGTTTTTGTGAACATTTATTCCATTCCTTACAACTATTAACCAACGATAAAAACTAAATTGGATTACAAATTTAACAACATAGGTAAATCACAGCACAGTTCTATTGGTGATTACAATGGCTAGACCAGAAACAAAACCATAGCACAATCGATCGTTGCAAATTGGTGCCAATTGGTGTAAAAAATTCCTACCGACGATTGTCTATATACATATGTAATATAGTAACGTTCAGCAGCTAAAAAACAACACAGCCAAACTGATCACTCTTTCAACAGTATTTATCAACGTTTACAATATAACCAAGGTGTATTCGCATAAAAACTATACCCGATACGTTCTTCAAATCGATGCACGATCATCAAAAATTCGACAATTGGTCCAGTAAAAGTTACGC